TTGTTGGTGCCAGACGGGCCGGTCTGAGTATTTCACAATCTGCTCAGTTACTGGGATTTTCACGCACAACCATTTCTAGGGTTTACAAAGAATGGTGTGAAAAGGGAAAAACATCGAGTATGCGGCAGTCCTGTGGGCGAAAATGCCTTGTTGATGCTAGAGGTCAGAGGAGAATGGGCCGACTGATTCAAGCTGATAGAAGAGCAACTTTGACTCTCTGAAATAACCACTCGTTACAACCGAGGTATGCAGCAAAGCATTTTTGAAGCCACAACACGCACAACCTTGAGGCGGATGGGCTACAACAGCAGAAGACCCCACCGGGTACCACTCATCTCCACTACAAATAGGAAAAAGGGCTCACCGTTGAAGTTGAAGACAGTTGAAGACTGGAAAAATGTTGCCTGGTCTGATGAGTCTCGATTTCTGTTGAGACATGGAGATGGTAGAGTCAAAATTTGGCGTAAACAGAATGAGAACATGGATCCACCATGCCTTGTTACCACTGTGCAGGCCGGTGGTGGTGGTGGTGGTGTAATGGTGTGAGGGATGTTTTCTTGGCACACTTTAGGCCCCTTAGTGTCAATTGGGCATCGTTTAAATGCCACGCCCTACCTGAGCATTGTTTCTGACCATGTCCATCCCTTTATGGCCACCATGTACCCATCCTCTGATGGATACTTCCAGCAGGATAATGCACCATGTCACAAAGCTCGAATCATTTCAAATTGGTTTCTTGAACATGACAATGAGTTCACTGTACTAAAATGGCCCCCACAGTCACCAGATCTCAACCCAATAGAGCATCTTTGGGATGTGGTGGAACGGGAGCTTCGTGCCCTGGATGTGCATCCCACAAATCTCCATCAACTGCAAGATGCTATCCTATCAATATGGGCCAACATTTCTAAAGAATGCTTTCAGCACCTTGTTGAATCAATGCCATGTAGAATTAAGGCAGTTCTGAAGGCGAAAGGGGGTCAAACACAGTATTAGTATGGTGTTCCTAATAATCCTTTAGGTCAGTGTATCTAGGGATGGGCATTTTTCAAAAATATTGCATTTGAATATTCAAGCTCACGGAAAACGAATATTCGTTTATTTAAATAAGTTTATTGAGAAAGACGTTACTTCAAACAAACGTTAGTTTTGTCACCTATGAACATCTCTGAACAAGCCTATACGACTATATTAACAAGTTTACACATTTCATCCTTTGAATAATTGTTGAAAACATTAAACAATGTGTGCACACAAAAAAGACATAAGAAATACAGAAGAATTTTAGCGCACTAAAATAACGCCAATAAAGCAGGCTGCCCCAATTATTGTACAGAACGTTTAGCCTACACTCAAGTCTGAATGTTATTGCGTTATTGTTTTACATGTTCTTGTTGAGAAAAACAAGCATATCAACATGCTCGGGCGAAAGTCGGCATCTTAGTCTGTTAAGAATAAGGCCGGCTGCAGAGAAAACGCGCTCCGCCGGCAGGGATGCACAAATAACGGTGTCCTAAGCGGCCAAGTTTCTTGAAGCTTTGTGTTGTCTCTCCACCAAATAATAGGATCTTCATCTGTTGGAATACACGGCTCCATCAAGAACTGTTCCCACTCGTCTCGGTTTGACTCTCTGTAATCTTCGCCGAAGAACCGCCTCAGCCTTCTCTGATGACTGGGCACTGGCTCATCCTCTCCATCATTGGCGGCAACGGCCGCACCCGCACCACTCGCATCAAAAGAAATGCTCTGATATTGTTCAAAAAGTTGTTCTCTTACGGTTTCTCTCATGTTTTCGTCGTGGAGCCTGAGGTGTTTGTGCCGAGAATCTAGAGCGGACGCGAGAAGAGGCGTTTTCCCTGCGTTCTGCAAGTTAGCGATGTTTATTCGTTGCTTGAGAGATGCTGCAGGTGTGTTTTTGAACTCATTCACTTTCTGTTATTCTCCACCGCTCATCTGAAGGTGTCTCTAGATACAGATTAAATGAAAATCGTTTTTATAAATATATTTAAATGGAAAGAACCCGACAGAATAATTCAAAAGAGACCAGTAATCAAATTAACTAGAACTAAGTAACATGCTACATTTATTCGTTCATTTGAACTATAGACGCACCTGGATAGAAGGCTTTGCACAAGTGGATACACAATGGAGACAGACACGTAGCTTTCACCACCCAGTGCTTCACTTGCTATTTTGGGGACTGGAGAACTGGTAATATTTCCTCAATTGTCTGCCAATGATCACCGGTTAACTCCAGAGTCTTAGCATCCGCCAGCTTGGTTGTGGTCCTGTCAGAGAGGACAGCGGTGATCGCCCAGCATTGTTCATGCAAACGTGTGAGCATATCAGCAGCTGAATACAGCGCGTTTTGCAGTATTGCACAAGCTTGTGCGAAGGCAATTCCAACTTTGTTTCTGTTTCAGTGCATTTGAGGCAATCGTGCTATGATGGAAATGTCCAACAAGTTTACTACATGCACCAATGAGTCTATTCATGCTTGCAGCTTTAAATCCATCATTAATGGACAACTGAAGTGTGTGTGCGAGGCAAGGTTGAGATTCCCAGTCCACGTCTCTGTTTGCAGCGACCATATTGCTAGCATTGTCATGCACGCACGCGACCACTTTGCCGTCCAGGCTCCATTGTTCTATAGACCTTTTTGAATAATGAGGGGTCTTCTCGGCTCGCTCGGGGGCCCATCTGGGCCTAACGTTACCTGCAGTCGTGAAAGCAGTGATGGGGAGCTGTCTTTTCGAATAATTATTGCAGATCAAATATTCTAATATTCGTGCACATCCCTAGTTATATCCAGTGTGGTGTGCTTTGAAACCAGCGACAATTGCAGGTTAGTGTAGAACTGCTACTATTCAGGATATTTAAAAGATATATATATATACACTCACCGGCCACTTTATTAGGTACCCCATGCTAGTAACGGGTTGGACCCCCTTTTGCCTTCAGAACTGCCTCAATTCTTCGTGGCATAGATTCAACAAGGTGCTGGAAGCATTCCTCAGGGAGTTTGGTCCATATTGACATGATGGCATCATTCAGTTGCCGCAGATTTGTCGGCTGCACATCCATGATGCGAATCTCCCGTTCCACCACATCCCAAAGATGCTCTATTGGGTTGAGATCTGGTGACTGTGGAGGCCATTTTAGTACAGTGAACTCATTGTCATGTTCAAGAAACCAATTTGAAATGATTAGAGCTTTGTGACATGGTGGAAGTAGCCATCAGAGGATGGGTACATGGTGGCCATAAAGGGATGGACATGGTCAGAAACAATGCTCAGGTAGGCCGTGGCATTTAAACGATGCCCAATTGGCACTAAGGGGCCTAAAGTGTGCCAGGAAAACATCCCCCACACCATTACACCACCACCACCAGCCTGCACAGTGGTAACAAGGCATGATGGTTCCATGTTCTCATTCTGTTTACGCCAAATTCTGACTCTAACATCTGAATGTCTCAACAGAAATTGAGACTCATCAGACCAGGCAACATTTTTCCAGTCTTCAACTGTTCAATTTTGGTGAGCTCTTGCAAATTGTAGCCTCTTTTTCCTATTTGTAGTGGAGATGAGTGGTACCCGGTGGAGTCTTCTGCTGTTGTAGCCCATCCGCCTCAAGGTTGTGCGTGTTGTGGCTTCACAAATGCTTTGCTGCATACCTCGGTTGTAACGAGTGGTTATTTCAGTCACTGTTGCCCTTCTATCAGCTCGAACCAGTCTGGCCATTCTCCTCTGACCTCTGGCATCAACAAGGCATTTCCGCCCACAGAACTGCCGCTCACTGGATGTTTTTTCTTTTTCGGACCATTCTCTGTAAACCCTAGAGATGGTTGTGCGTGAAAATCCCAGTAGATTAGCAGTTTCTGAAATACTCAGACCAGCCCTTCTGGCACCAACAATCATGCCACGTTCAAAGTCACTCAAATCAACTTTCTTCCCCATACTGATGCTCGGTTTGAACTGCAGGAGATTGTCTTGACCATGTCTACATGCCTAAATGCACTGAGTTGCCACCATGTGATTGGCTGCTTAGAAATTAAGTGTTAACGAGCAGTTGGACAGGTGTACCTAATAAAGTGGCCGGTGAGTGTATATACACATATGCGTGTGTATATGTTTAAATTATTAAACACCTTGTTGTCAAAGTTAGTATTGTGGCTTTATGTATAGTATCTTTTCGTTATATTATATTTTACAAAATCAAGCTTGAATGGAGTTTTGATGTGTTTCACCTGCGAAAGTCTGAGATTTGTGTTTTATCTGTCATTAGAACGGACGCATCTGAGTTAGATCTGAATGCATCACATTGTTTTTATTAACTTACAGGTTACAAAGTAATTGTGGCTATATAGCTATATATTTGGCACAGAGCTTGTGTTATAAAAGATGAAGTGTTAAGCACAGGCTCTATTGGCTGTGATTAGACAGCAAATATCTGACTAAGACACTCTTCTCCACTCCTTAAATACATAAAACATTAGCCTTTACACACATCCTGTTTTGAATAAAGAAAACGCTGTACTTATTCATAGAACCAGTTCTTTATTTAACCTTTTAGCAAAGACAGTCTCCAAAATGCGTGCAGAACTTCATGCACGATTGAGGCGGATTGAGCTTCTGTATGAGGTTTTGCCGACAGTTTGAGGATCCACTCGGTTTACTCACAAGCTCTTCGTATAAAGTTTAATTCAAGCTCTGTTATAAAGTATATACTATAGTAGTCTTTCTGATTTTTGGGGTTTTTGCTCAACAGGTTCTTTATGTCAGAAAGAAAATATTTTAATTTTCTTTCTTAGTTCCAATAAATTAATCATGTTTTTAATTGGCCGTAATAAGTTCATAGAGCCACTTTGGCTGGTAAATGATGGCAGTTTCCACCCAGACTCATCGATGTCTTTTCTTCAATGTTAGCCTGCTAGATAACGTCAGTGCTTCAGTCAGCAGACTCACGCGTTCATAAATGTTCATGCCATGTTTTTGCTGCAGCTTGGACCGTGCGATGCAGTCTCTGAAGAACACGGCCACGAACACTCTGGACGAGCTGTCGGAGGTGTTCACGGAGACGAGGGCTCAGCTGTACCTGTACGCCGGGACGCTGCTGCTGAAGACTGCGCAGGACGGGGCGCAGCAGTGGAGGGCCGTGCGGGATTTAGCGGCTGTCTGTTACCTCGTGGCCTATCAGGTATGATGTGCACTTTATCTGCTTCATGCAGCTCGTGTGATCGGCCACTGTATAGTGTAATATCCATGATTTCCTTAGGCTCCGAGACCCAAAGTCAAGAGTTTGAAAGGTGAGCAGGCGTCCCATGAGCCTTTGGAGCTGCTGGCCTCGGACCGCCAGAGTCAGGCGGGTCACATGCTGTTGAATCTGAGCCGGGACGTGGAGCAGCTGCTGAAGGAGGTGGTGGAGGCATTCAGGAACCGGAATGGGCCCAGTCTTCTGTTCGACATGCTCTTCGGCTCACAGGAGCACGACCAGCTCTCCTTCATCTGCAACAACGAGATGCACATGGTCAGCACACACGCGCCCAGCACCGACGATCTGGCCAAGTGGGACAGTGGTGAGTGTCACACACTCTAGATCCAGTCCGGTCTAGATCAGCAAAAAAGGGGGCAGATAAACATTGTTGTTTGATTAACATTGACACAGACAGCAGCATGTATTTATAGGCTGCTCTCACTTTAAAGGGTTAGTTCACCCAAAGATTTTAATTGTCATCATTTACTCACCCATATGTTGTTCCAAATGAGGTCAATTCTCGTGTTACGCAGCACGTTTGAGCTTCCTTGGGGAAACGAGAATGAACCTCATTGGTTCTTTAGGAAGCACATTTAGTGGGTTTGTGGACAAAAGCCCTTTCAAATAAATTGCCATTGGACACATTGTAACAACTGCTTTTAAAATAACGCTTTTGATGCTACATAAAGAGTTAAGGGACCAGAGACTTTCACCTTTCAATGAGCCATGTGTATTACACCACAAATCACCATACAGTCAGTAAACATACAACATACATAGTCATTCAGTTACAAGGGAAACATCAAAATAGTTCAGACTTTTATAGTAGCGTTTTTGGCTACCAAGAGCTCAGTCCTAAGAGTTATAGGAGCAAGATGAAACAGTACTTAAGAGCAATGTTGATGAGGCCGCATCTGCCTGAAACCGAGTTTCCAAGTGGCTGTCGGTAATGTGAAATGGAACTGTAGCTTGTGAAATGAACAATAGATAACAAAGGTGTTGTTTGCAAAACGACAATTAATTAATCCCCTTTTTGGTCAAGGTCCTAGCTATAGTTATAATAATAATAATACATTTTATTTATAACGCACTTTACATCAATTCAATGACCTCAAAGTGCTACAATATAAAACAGAATAAAAACAGAAACATTAAAATAACACTTTTAGCCATAAAAGTCTTTTAAAAAAAAAAAAGGGGTTTAAGGCCTTTTTTAAAAGAGTCCACAGTCTGAGGGGGCCTTAGATGGACAGGGAGAGCATTCCACAGACTGGGTGCAACTGAACAGAAGGCACGGTCACCCATAGCACGAAGCCTTGTCCTCAAAGGCTGAAGGAGATTGGCCTGTCCAGAGCGGAGATGGCGTGATGAGGAAAGGGGGGTGATGTGTTGTTTGAGATATGGTGGAGCAGTGTCATGGAGGCACTGATGGGACAGAAGGGAAACTTTGAATTCAATCCTGTACTGGGCAGGAAGCCAATGGAGCGATTTAAGGATGGGTGTGATATGGTGGTACTTCCGCACGCCCATCAGGATCCTAGCCGCACAGTTCTGGATGTACTGCAGCTGCTTGATGTTCTTGCTTGGGATCCCGATGAGGAGTGCATTGCAATAGTCCAGCCTGGAGGAAACAAAGGCATGGACAAGTTTTTTGGCATCGGGGAAAGTGAGCATTGGGTGAAGTTTTGCAATGTTCCTGAGATGAAAGAAAGAGGTTTTACAAAGATGTTTAATGTGGGCCTCAAAGGTCAAGTGAGGGTCCATTCTAACACCAAGGTTTGTGACTGAAGGTGAGAGGTGGATATCATGACCAGAGAAGGTGATGCTGGTGATGGTGGATGACCGGGTCTGGTGCGGAGTGCCAACAAGAATGGCTTCCGTTTTTAAGCTGTTGAGTTGGAGAAAGTCTTTACCTCCATCCACGTCTTTACCTCCTCCAGGCAGGTTGAAAGTGTGGAAGGGGCTGCAGAAGGGTTAGGATTTGTTTTGATGTAAATTTGGGTGTCATCAGTGTAGCAATGGAAAGATATTCCATGCCGGCTGATGACATGACCAAGGGGGAGTATGTAAAGCGTGAAGAGGATGGGGCCAAGGACTGATCCTTGAGGGACACTGCAAGTGATAGAGTGTGTGTCCGATTTAGCAGCACCCAGGGATACATACTCAGTTCTGTCCGTGAGATATGATGTAAACCAGGCCAGAGCAGTATCAGAGAGTCTAATGGAGGAGTGGAGGCGGTGTAAAAGAATATGGTGGTCCACTGTGTCAAATGCTGCGGTGAGATCAAGAAGGATGAGGAGTGATGGAGAGCCAGCATCAGCCGTCATCAGCAGGTCATTAGTGACCCTGACCAAGGCAGTTTCCATACTGTGGCCAGAGCGAAAACCAGACTGGAACTTCTCATAAAGACTGTTTGTTGCGAGATGATTGTGGAGCTGAGCAGAAACTACCTTTTCCAGCACCTTTGACAAGAAAGGGAGGTTGGAGATGGGGCGGTAGTTGGCAGGTACTTCGGGGTCAAGGCAGGGCTTTTTGAGTATTGGCTTAATGACCGCAGTTTTCAGAGACTTAGGGACATGGCCAGATCGGAGAGACTGATTGATGATGTTGGTGATCATGGAACTTATTGCAGAGGAATGACTTTTTATCAGGGCTGAGGGAAAAGGGTCCAGATCACAGGTTGAGGGCTTCATCTTCCTTAGAAGGTCTTCGATGTCATGCTGAGTGATATCCGTAAAACAGCAGAGGAGCTGTGTAGTCCCAGATTGAGGGTCAGTGAATGTAACTGGGGGAGCAAAGGGGCTAGGGAGAAGAGGGGGCGGGTGTGAGGGAGCAGGGGGGGGGGGGGGGGTTGGGGGGTGTAGGACAGAGGGGCTAGAGAGAAGGGAACGGATCTTTTCAACTTTTGTTTTGAAGAAGGAGATGAAGGTGTTGCAACGCTCCTGCATGTTCTCTGAGTGTAGGGGGATCAGAGGTTTGAGGAGATGATTTATGGTTGAGAAAATTTGCTTGGAGTTACCAGGGCTATTGTTGATTATATGGGAGTAGAACCGGGACCGGGTGTCACTGAGGGACTTGCTGTAGGCCCTCTGATGTTCCCGGTACGCTAACTTGTGAACAGCAAGCCCTGAGTCTTTGAAACGCCGTTCAAGGACACGCCCTGTTCTCTTCTACAGCCACAGCTCACTGGTGTACCAGGGGGCTGAGTGTTTGAAGGTGACGGTTCTGGACTTGACTGGGGCATGACGGTCTAGGAGGGTGCTAAGTGATGAATTGTAAAGATCCACAGATTCAATGACTGAAAGGGGATTAGCAGCGGATAGAAGACTGAGGTCGGTAGTCAGGGTGACTGGATTGATGTTTTTAAGGTTCCTGAAGCTGATTTGTCTGCTTGACTTACTGAGGGGGAACAGGATGGGAAGCTCCATTGAAATGGCCTTATGGTCTGACACGAACAGATCGTGCACCGAGAGATTGCTGATAGAGGTGGAATTGGTGATCAACAAATCCAGCGTGTGGCCTCTGGAGTGTGTTGGTACGTTGACATGTTGAATGAAATTGAGACTGTCAAGAAGATTTATGAATTCAGCTACCAAGTAGGAAGAGGGATAATTTATGTGGATATTAAAATCACCAAGTATGATGATATTCCCTGGGGTTGAGTAAAGCGAGGTAAGGAAATCATGTATCTCAGGAATGAAAGCTGGGTTTCGGTTTGGGGGGCCGGTAAATCAGGAGCATTGTAGTGGAAAGAGGCATTTTGCATTTGAATGCAAGGCATTCAAAAGAAGAGTGGACAGGCAAGGACAGGGGGGACAACTCAGACTCTACCCGGTGCACAACGGCAAGACCACCACCGCGGCCAGTGGTGCGGGCCTTGCTTAAGTAGGTATAGCCAGAGGGACAGGCTTCATTTACACTAGTGTAAACTTCTGGTTGTTGCCAGGTTTCAACTAGGAACATGAAGTGTATATGCTCGTTGATGATGTGGTCATGAATAAAAGATGCCTTATTATTAAGGGATTGTGCATTTAAAAGTTCCATTTTGACTGGGGGTGCTGGGTTGAGGGTAGCAGAGTGTCTCTGTAGGGGCCGGAGTAGGCTGTGATCCACTCCACGTTTTATGTCCCGCTTGGAATGAAATTGCCTCTTGGTGGCAGCGCTCTGAAGACGTGTCAGTTGTGCGACGGGCGTCCAGATTGACGGAATGTACTGCTCAGCCTGCTGGTGGTGAACAAAGCATCTGCGTACACTCCGGTGGACATAACGGGAGCGACACAAAATTCTGAGTTCACTTATAATGGAGATGTTAAGTCCAGGAGTAAATGCAGAATTGAGTCTGTGGAGCTGTGAGGAGGAATAACTGAACGCCATGCCGAACAAGGACGAATGCCACCAAGCCTCGCTAGCCACTGGCCGACAAGGTAGCCTGTTTGGCGATAGCCGTCTTCATGTGCTAGCGCCGACAGCAAGCCCCGTGCATGAGTCCCACAGACGGAAAACAGCCAGACACAGAAGGGCAGCCCAGACCATGAGCAGCCGACAAAACAAAACAAAAACCTCCCACGGTGGACTCCAGCCAAACCCGCGGAAGACTCGTGGAACCGATGACAGAGAGCCCCTCAGGTTAGTCAAACTTTGATTGGTATAAACAATCCAAAAGACTCTAGACGAATTCGTGAAGAACGGAAACGGGACTTTTTTTTCCAGGTTGGTCAAAACTTTGATTGATATAAAATAGTCCAAAAAGAGAACTCTAATCCCAGTGAGCAGAGGCAGCCAAACGCACCTGCGTACGCTCCGAAGTATCAAGTATCAAGTCATAACAGTCAAGCTGCCTCCTCATGCCTGCACGTTGAAGCCTATTTGAGTTTAGGAACCTCAGGTTCCTCAAATCAGGGCAAAAACACAAGACAGCATTGGTGAGAAAGCTTCTCCATGTGGTTAACACATCCTTCCTCTCCCATACTACTTTCTTATCCTTTTTTTGCTACCAGGCATCTCACTGGCTAGAGTGCCCCTAGTGACAGGATTAAATATTGCACATACAGAAAGCTAATGGGACAAATGTAACTGTAAAACTGTTACAACACAGTGCCCCGAATGGAGCGTAGGGTGAATTTGGATCCCGTTGACCTGTTATTTAAAAAAGGATTGTGATGTTTCGGCTTACCCCACCCTCCGTGCCCCCCAAATTGCTGACCCCGGTATAGGGGGGTTTTGGACACCTATAGGGGGCGTCACTCACCTGTTGACCACACCCTCACACCCACAGGCCCTTTTCATGTCCACATCCAATAATTTTTGGGGGTAAAATGTGGTAGTTGCTCACAAAACAGCACTATTTGTCCATTCGCCCTTTGAGTAAAGGGATGGGGCTCTTACCTTGAAGGCCTCTAGTTCCTACAAGCTACTATTTGTCCGTCTCTCTCTACCGGGCACATGGGGGACACTTGGGGTGCTCTGTCCCACTAACCCTCTATTTGTCCTTTTCCCCACTATATATATGTCAAGTCAAGTCATCTTTATTTAAATAGCATTTTTAACAATGTAGATTGTTCCAAAGCGGCTTTACAGTGATAATAGGAAATTAAAGTAACAGAGATTGTTTTGGCTTTATAGCAGCTCTATAAATAAAGTTATTTTCCAGCTAAAGTTAATTTTGATTGATTCACTTCCGTCGCAACGATCATTAGTTATTAACTTGGGGGCCGCTAACTAGAGGAACGGAATGACCCATCGACCCCCGATGACCGCGAGTACCACAAACCCACTATTTGTCTGCTTACCCATTAAAGTGGCTGAATGACCCCTTGACCCCCACTGGCCACTGGCCTCCCACCCCCCAGGTACCATGAACCCACTATTTGTCCACTTCCCTGCTATAATGACTCCACCTCCCGGGACCCCGCCCCCAGTCCAACAAACCCACTATTTGTCTGCTTTCCTATTAAGTTTACAAAAAGCACCCCTAAATGGTCTTAAGGCAAAAAATATATATATATAAAAAAAAATCCCACTCCCCATTTATTTGAATGGGCTTACCTGATTCACGGTTTTGTGAACATGGCTCAATCGACCAGAGGGCGCCATTTGCATCTTGCCAGGGGTCCCTCTAGTGGGCAGGAAAGTTTGGTGGTCCTACGACCTTGTTCAGGGGTTGAAAGGTCAAAAAAGCGACCGCTGACGGAGAGAGTAGGGTTAGAGGCTGAAAATGTTTTGCCTTTGCTCTAGAGTCCAGAGCTCACGGTATATTGCTAAGGGGGCCCCCATGGGCCACCATGCCGAATTCGGGGCCCCTGGGACTTATCTATAAAAATCCCATTTCCCCATTATTCGAATGGGTTTGCCATAGTGGGTTCGTCCATTATGCCATAGTGGGTTTGCCTAGCATCCACAAAGCCACTTCCTCAACCCATCAAACTTATTATGAAATGTACGCCATGGAAATGTCTTGTGCTTCCTTGAGAACCAATGAGGTTCATTATCTGGTGTTACACAGCACGTTTGAGCTTCAGCAAGAGCCAATGAGGTTTATTCTCGTGTTATGCAGCACGTTTGAGCTTCAGCAAGAACCAATGAGGTTTTTTGGTGAACTAAACCTTTAAGACAGAATGCACGGATTCAATACAATGATACACATCCGAATTTCTTTCTCTACTTTTAACATTCAGTTAAGGCCGACTGTGGTTGAGGATACTCGAGTTCTCTTTCGCGTCTCCTTGCACATGAATGTTTAAATTGAAAAGATTTACAAACACGCAAATGATCAACTTTTGCTCTATGATAGTTAAACTTTGCAATAATCCACGGGTCATATGAGTGTCGAACCGTGGGCCCTGGTCCATACAGAACTGCAATCCGTTACAGTGCTAGTGCTGACAGCGGGGTGTGTGTTCACACAGGTGCGGTGCTGCTGCACGCGGGCGATCTTCAGCACCTGGCGTGGCTCGGCCTGCAGTGGGCGCTGATGGAGCAGAGTGTCAGCCTGCAGCGCTGGCTCAAGCAGCTCTTCCCTCGCCTCACGCTCGAGACCTCCAAACTAGACACCAACTCACCCGAGTCCATCTGCCTGCTCGACCTGGAGGTGCGTCCACCCCTCTTCTCATCCTCAATGAGGCACGGGGGAAACATTCACCTACATTTGGCTTTTATGAAACATGCAGTCTTTTTTTCTTTTTTTTGCATAATGTAGGTATTCATTTATATCTGATATAGCCTTTCAAAATGCTACTTTGGATAATGCAGTAATTTAATGCCTGTGATTTGTATAATGCTGTAAATATCTACCTAACATGCATGTTTGGACTGTGGAAGTGGGTCGATCTCAGAGTTACGGCTGAGGTGCTTTATCAGATCCGCTGTGTATATGTGATGTGTTGCAGGTGTTCTTGTGTGGCGTTGTGTTCAGCAGTCAGACGCAGCTGCAGGAGACGGCACGGATGGCCTCGTGCTCCTCACCGCATCAGCCCCGGTGTTTGCCTCTGCACATCATCAGGCTCCTGTCCTCCGCCAAGCAGCGCGAGTGGTGGGACGCCGTCTACCGCCTGATCCACAAGAAAGCGCTGTGAGTGATCGCCCTGCTGTAAAGTGTGAGCCTGACGCACGGCTCCGTGTCTGACTGCAGTGTTTTCTGGTGTGTGTGTGACAGGCCTGGGACGCTGGCTAAACTGCGGATGCTGGTTCAGCACGGTCTCGGCACGCTGCGCGCCGGAGAGAAACACAGCCTTCAGCCGGCGCTGCTCATCCACTGGGCTCAGCATCTCACTGATGTGGTACGTCTGCTTACAGCCGTCCTCGTGATGCTCGTTCTGAGCCAGGAATTATTGGCCACTCTGGTCTGATAAGTGTTTTAGGGGGATAACGGTTGTTTTCATTTAGGAAATAATGGATTTAAAAGGATTAAAGGGAATAAAGAAAAAGTTACAAAACGGCTAAATAATTTATTGTAAGATAATCCATTGAAATATTTGAAAAAATATTTTATTTTAAAATATGCACATATTCACTCCAAAAAAAAACTAACTCTGCAGAAGACAATAGTGTCTCAATCATTAAAGTAAAGATGTGACAGGAAAGCGAGTTCACTGTCATACTTGTGAACACACATATGTGAACACTTCATAACCCGCCTCTGTTCTTTCCTGACGTCATGCATGTGTAAATATGCCTCTGATTTGGCCAGTTATTATGCTCTCTCTCAGTAATAAAGTGCACATTGTTTCTCAGATAGTATGTCTGTAAACATCAGGAAGCAGCTCACGCAGTCAATCGGGGGAATGAGGAGGAGCGCGATGAATTAGAGCGTTTTCATGTGTTTGATCAGCACATGATTCCCATGCTTCATTCGTAGTATTGATGGCTTCGTCAGTGTGAGATTACTAGTACAGACTGAGCAGGTGTGTCTTGACGTCGATGTGTTTGACAGGCGGAACGGGTGAAGGACTATGCAGGCCGCGGTGTACACTACTGGAAAGTTGTGTTTCCCTTGCTTGAGAAAATCCGAAACAAACGCATTATTCCTGAACCTCCGGAGCCGATGTTCATGCACTTTCACAGTAAAGACATACAGGTATGTACTCTCTTCCTGCTTCTGATTCATATGGTTTGTTTGTCTCTAATGGTCTCTTTGTCTTCAGCCTTCTCAAGTGCGAGTATATGAGGAAGAGGCCGCCATAAGCTCTGCCACACTGCTTGACATCGAGGGCAACACCGACGAGGCGATCGCAAAGCTGGAGAAGCTCAACAGCACCTCGTCTAACTGGCATCTTGCTAAGGTAACAGCGCTTTCTCTGGACGTCAGTCACACCGGTTCAGCATCAGAAGTAAAGTGATTATTATCGGTCTGTGAATGACCCTGACCTGATGAGTTTGTGGATGTGTGTTGATGGGCAGATCTATCAGAGGCTGTCGGAGGAGGCGGCAAACGGGATGGAGGAGACGCAGGGCAGGTGCACCAACTTCCTCCTGCAGTTCAGGAAATACCTGACAAAGATTTATCAGGCCAGTCCAGAAGACATGGACAAGGTATGTTAAACACCTCTGATGTTTGTGCTGCTCACTTTACTCAGGGTTCCTCAAATCTGACCCTGGAGGGCCACTGTCCTGCAGAGTTCAGCTCTAGCATTAAACAAACACACCTGAAGAAGTTAATCAAGGTCTTCAGGATTACTAGAAAGCTACAAGCAGTTTGATCGGGTTTGAGCTAATCTCTGAGGGCAGGGGTTGAATTTGAGGAATCCTGCTTTAAACCAACTTCACATGCATTTACACAAGTGACCATTGCAGGAAACAGTGCAGATTTTAGTGCAGGGCTTACATTAGACCTGTCCGAAGATGCTTTTAAAAAGCACTGAACTCTGATTCTTCAACCAGTGCTAGTTTCTCAGTCAGCAGCCTGTCATCGCCTACATCAGGGTTGTGTGTGTCATGAGAAGTCATGTTTAGTTGAATTGTGAATGAGTCTGAAGTCTGACACTCGTGTTGAGTAATAATAGTCGGTGTATGTCACTCTTCGGAGACGGTCTGATGGAGAGGCTTCAGGATCAAAGAAAACACTCAAGCTCATCAAAAGTCAAAAGTTTTGAACGCGCATCAAATTTGTGACGGATCTACTACTACTCTGGAAAATATCATGAGGGCCGCTGCTTTTCAGTAGTGTTTGTAATAACATTTCCATGATTTGTGTATTGTGATATTGTAATCAACCATAGTTTTAATGGGGTCATCGGATGCCCATTTTCCACAAGTTGGTATGATTCTTTAGGGTCTTCATGTAAAGTTTGTAACTGTTCACAGAGACCCGTTTCGGTGCATGTCTCTTTAAATGATAATGAGCAACTGCTTTTGAATGAACTAGTCCTTTAATTCTGTCTCTTCATGTTTCAAGTTGCCTGTGTCTATGGAGAATGTGATGGATATGCTGAACAAGGTCAACCAGCAGCTTGCAGAAGATGACGAGCGGGATGAAGATCATGTGGACTATCCGCTGACGTCCAGCCCCGGTCAGCCCACTGAGCCACATGTGAAGTTCTCCACTCCGTCTCCATCCAAAAGTGCCACGTCTCCATCTAAAAGATCCATGGTATGTCATGACACTGGTGCTTCTGCAGAAGCTTTGCTTGCTGTTTACATAGCGTTGCGGTTCCTGACTGTTGTTCCCTTCTCCAGTTCTCGCCCAAAACGACTCCTTTCTGGGCCGAGGACCAAAAGTCCCTCCTGCAGATGCTGTGCCAGCAGGTCGAGTCCTTGAAGGTCAGTCGCACATCCACCGCTTGTAGCATAATCAGTCAGGGCCAGATGTACTAACGCTTTTGCGCCCACTTCAGGCGTATTTGTTTCGCAAAGTGCGCATAAAACCATGGTGAGGTATGTACGAATGGGACGCACCGAGATGAAAGTGCAGACTGCCTGTCGCGGGAACTGAAAATGGCAAAATGCACTTTTCTTGTCATGCATATGCATTCATGGGATGGTCAAGGGTAAAGTGGGAGTGTCACATAAAGAGATGGGAGGGGAAGTGTAAACTGCGCCTAATTATGTATTCCGCGTTATGTACAGAAAAAGCCGGTGAAAGTGTGCCTCTATTTTGTAGGGCTGTTTTCGACTAAGGACTTTCATAGTCGAATCTGATTCGTTAGATTTTGCCGCAGGCGACTGATAGTCGAACCTTTTTTTTTTTTTTTTTTGATAGCAGCTAGACGTTCGGTTGAATAACTGTTACGTTTATTTAAAATGAACAGCAAGACAACTAGAAGTGAATGTGCTTTCCATTAAATGAATCCTTAACACAAAAAAAACGTTGCAATGAACGTGCTTTGTTTTAAATAAATCACACACAGTAAACAAAACCTTAACAACAAAACTTTGCAATGAACTTTGCAATTTAGATGCGCAAACTACGTGCCGGTGCGGTGAAACGTAGCCTACATGCTCGGGCAGATTCGGCTTGAAGTCGTTCATCCTCGGATGCGGCGTCGTGCGCGCGAAATGGGGTCTTGCGCACCCAACGCGTCATTTTTTTGCAGTCCGCACCTTCGCGCTCGTGCGGACGCGTCGAGTATAAACAAGGCTTTACTCCGTGTCAGCGCGCGCTCTGATCGGTAAAGGTGCACAGACCTCTCCCGAATCATCTCCAGCACTCAGCCTCCGGAGCACCACTAACTCCGCCTCCGTTTCCCTCGTAAGATGATATTAGTATTTAAACATTCTCTATGATAAAAAATGTTTGTAAAAAAAATATTTTAATAGCACGGTTTTGGCGGTTATAGAGTTCTAATGACGGTGTTCAACTATAACCGTCGGTCTCACAGTTATATAATAACGTCACACCCCTCATAACACTTGCCTACTATTCGACTATGAGGTTCATAGTCGAATAAGACCTCTCCGAATCGAATTGTCGAATCCTCGACTATTAGAAGTCAGCCCTACTATTTTGCGCTAAATTCTCTGTATCTTAAAAGCAGGAGTAACTTAGGAAGCGGGTTTCCTGGCATATGCCTCCTGGTGAAGTGGCAGCAGTAATCCGAGCAAGACAAAGACATAGGCTAAGGAGACGAGCTGAAAAAGTTTTTGCCACAAGAATCACACTTTTTCAGTTATGTGAAAACAAAATCATTAACCGTTACAGATTAAGCAGCTACGCAATATTACAGTTACTGGAAGAAATCAAAGATGACATCGAATCTCCGACTCAGCGTTCACATTCCCTTCCAGCAGTTGTTAAACTCCACGCTACATTACAATTATTTGCATCAGTATCATTTCAAACAGTCATAGCATCAGCAGTGACAGGACGAGGCCCATTCAATTGCGCGTTTAAATATGTGCAATTTACGGTATAGTGGGTGGGGACATGCGCTGATTACCTGATGAACTGCAGGTTTGGTACATAACACACACTGCGGTTTCACATCAAGCGCTTTCTGCGTCTTGGCCTTGGCGCTATTAATTAACGCTGCGTTCGCAAATGTACATACATCTGGCCCTCTGTGTTTGCTTTTGCTTTGCCACAGACAAATGGGAATTTACCTTCTATACTGTGAACATTATTTTGATGTTTTTTTAATAGTTTTGTCATGGAACTCTTGTATTTGTCTATACAACTCTTGACAACAATAAACCCTTGAGTGTAAGGTAATCAGAGCAAGAGTTGGTAGAGACTGGGTAATGCACTTTGAGTGTCCAAACATTCACTCTGAACAAGAGCTGTCATAATCAAAGCTAACTGCACTCAATCTCTTATTCACCTCATAAACACTTTAGTAACAAAGTACCAGTACATTTCACAACACGAGTTAAAGCCTTAAAAGGCATAGTTCCTTTACCATGTAATGTTTTTGGTGTTTATTGTCATGTCTTCTATTGAATAATCCATCCTTTCATCACTTACAAATGTACCTCTATATCACTGCCATTATTTGCATCAGTGAGTTTCATTTGGAGAAGACTGAAGACATAAACATGCTGAATCGCTCCTCACGTGTCGTTGTATCAAGCGATCTCATGACTACAGTACCTCTCATGAATGACATATTTGCATACGCCGCTGCTCTTCGTGCCAGTCGATATTCCAGTTTTACACATTTTGTCATCTTCTGTGGCATCAAATGGTGTGTGATTACATTTTCAATAATGTTACAGAAATGTGTTTTAGGCTTTCATGACCCTTTCAGCATGTTTGGCCACACATCAGTTGTGGTATGCTATTGATCGGTTAATTCTATACGTGTAACTATTCCATTAAGATCTGTATATTGTCGAAAAGCGCTATAGAAAGAAAGCTGACTTGACCAGTAATTTTCGTCTTCTTCTCAAATGTGGAGTACAGATCTTGAATGCAGTTTTCTGTATGTTAGCGCCACCTTGTGCTCTGTGTATCTGTGTATCTCTAAGAATCAGGTGGACTATCTGCTGATGTCCAGCCCCAGTCAGCCCACTGAGCCGCATGTGAAATTCTCCACGGTATGTCATGGAACTAGTGTTTCTGCAGAAGCTTTGCTTGCTGTTTACAGAGTGTTATGGTTCATGACTGTTGTTTCCTTCTCCAGTTCTCGCCCAAAACGACTCCTCACTGGGCCGAGTACCATAAGTACCTCCTGCAGATGCTGTGCCAGCAAGTCGAGTCCTTGAAGGTCAGTCGCACATCCACCGCTTGTAGCAGAATCAGTCAGTGTTTGCTTTTGCTTTGCCTTCAATACTGTTAACATTATTTTGAGGTTTTGTCAAGGAAGCCTATTGATATTTTTATTTTTTCTATACAACTCTAGACAGCAATAAACCCTTGAGCATAAGGTATTAATAGAGCAAGAGCGCATAGAGACTGGGTATTGCAGTTTGTGTGTGCAAACATTTACTCTGAACAAGAGCTGTCATAATCAAAGCTAACTGCACTCAATCTCTTATTCACCTCGTGAACACTTTAGTTACAAAGTACCAGTACATTTGACAATACGAGTTAAAGCCTTAAAAGGCATAGTTACTTTACTATGTAATGTTTTTGGTGTTCTTTGGTCTTCTATTGAATAATCCATCCTTTCATCACTTACAAACGTACCTCTATATCACTGCCATTATTTGCATCCAGGTCAGGTCATACCTGCCACCGGTAACCATGTAACCCGGTGCCACCTGCCTCATGCAGAGAAGGTAAACTCTGTCAAAAAGCTCTGCTGACTTGCGGCTACATCTCTTTTGGGAAAAGGCTTTAGGAGTAAACCTTGAGGAAAAATCTGGTGCTGGAGTCCCATAGGCAGCACGTGGTTGCATGCAATCTCACCTTGGCAACTCCTGCGACAGTGCAAGAAACACGCCTGGCTGAATCGGGATCTTTGAAGGAGAAGGATTACACCTTCTTCTGGCAAGGAAAGAGTGCTGTGGACCGCAGTGATCATGGAGTAGGGTTTCCAGTGAGGAACACCTTGCTGGAGATGATTGAACCAGGTGACAAGGGATCAGAACGCCTACTGACCCTCCGCCTCCATACCTTTGAGGGACCAGTTACACTCATCAGCGCCTTTGCCCCAACCTTGACCTCCACACCTGAGGCAAAAGATGAGATCTACACTAACCTGAATGACGCCATCAAGAACATCCACTGTAGTGAACACCTCGTCCTCCTTGGCAACTTCAATGCCAGAGTAGGCGCAGACCATAACTCTTGGCCTTCCTGCTTGAGTTCCTCTAGAGTTGGCAAGATAAACGAGAATGGGCAGCGCTTGTTGGAGCTTTGCTCTTATCATGGCCTCTGCGTGACCAACTCCTATTTCCAGACGAAGCCACAACACAGAGGGTCATGGCGCCACCCTCCATCCAAGCTCTGGCACCAGCTCGACATGGTCATCGTCAGACGTACAAGCCTCAATCATGTGCTTCTCGCCCGCTCATACCACAGTGCTGACTGTGACTCCGATCACTCACTGGTATGCTGCAAGATCAAACTGGTGCCAAAGAAACTCCACCACTCCAAACAAGAAGGGAAGCCATGCATTGACACGACTAAGATGCAACATCCAGAGAAGCTCGAGGAATTGACAAAGTCTCTTGAGGATGCTCTGTCTGTAGGCTACCCATGTAACACCACTTCCGCGTCATGGAACGACCTGTGTGAGGCAATTCAGAAATAAGCTCTTGCTACCTATGGGAGAAAGACCTTCAAGAACTGCGACTGGTTCAATGCCAAGTCTGCGGAGTTGACCCCTGTTATTGAATCAAAGCGTGCTGCCCTTGCTGAATATAAGTGCTCACCAGGTGGGAAAACCCTTCAAGCACTCAGATCAGCCAGGAGCAAAGTACAGCAGACAGCAAGAAGATGCGCCAACGAGTACTGCCAGGAGCTCAGTCATGACATTCAGAATACAGCAGCAACAGGTAACATCAGAGGCATGTACGAGGGCATCAAGAAAGCTCTCAGACCAACTCAGAGGAAAACTGCACCCCTGAAAACCAGCTGCGGAAAAGTGCAAAACCAAGCAGATGGAGAGATGGGTGGAACACTATTCAGAGCTCTATTCCAGAGAGAACATTGTTGTCACCTCAGCACTGGACGTCATCGATCCTCTGTCCACCATGGAGGAGTTAGACGCTGAACCAACACTGGCAGAACTCAGCAAGGCTATCAACAGCTTAGCCTGCGGCAAAGCCCCTGGGATTGATGGCATCCCCACAGACCTGATCAGGCACTGCAAGACCACCCTTTCGCAGCCTCTATTTAACATCCTTTGACAGTGTTGGAGTGAAGGTGGTGTTCCACAAGACATGAGAGATGCCAAGATCGTCACCTTGTACAAGAACAAAGGCGACAGGAACGACTGCAACAACTACAGAGGCATCTCCCTCTTGAGCACCTTAGGCAAACTGTATGCAAGAGTGCTGTTAGTGCGTCTTCAACAGCTGGCAGAACGTGTCTACCCCGAGTCCCAATGTGGCTTTAGAGCAGAACGTTCTACAGTGGACATGATCTTCTCCCTTTCGCCAACTACAGGAGAAGTGCAGGGAACAGCAGAAGCCCTCTACATGGGCTTTATAGACTTGACCGAGGCCTTCAACCTGGTTAGCCTGGATGGGCTCTTCAACATCCTCCTGAAGATCGGTTGCCCCCCGAAGCTTCACAGCATGATCAGATCTTTTCAAAACGGTATGAAGGCAACCACCCAGTACGATGGCAGCAGGTCCGAACCATTTGACATCAAAAGTGGCTTGAAGCAAGGCTGTGTCCTTACTCCAAACCTCTTCGGCATCCTCTTCTCCCTTCTTCTGAAACATGCTTTCGGGAATTCAACCGAAGGGGTGTACATGCACACAAGATCAGATGGCAGACTCTACAACATTGCAAGACTCAGAGCAAAAACCAAGGTGCGTGAGATCATCATTAGAGACATGCTCTTTGCCGATGACGCAGCAGTCACCTCTCACACTGAACAAGATCTACAGTGTCTGATGGATGGATTCTCCCAGGCCTGCAAAGACTTCGGACTAACCATCAGCCTGAAGAAGACCAATGTGCTGGGTCAAGATGTGGCACCACACCACCTGTCATCACCATCGACAACTACGAACTTGAAGTGGTCCACCAGTTCACCTACCTTGGTTCCACCATCAGCGACAACCTGTCCTTAGATGCCGAAATCAACAAATGCATCGGAAAGGCTGCAACAACACCAGGATGACTGACCACTCACGTCTGGGAGAACCCCAAGCTGACCACCCAAACCAAGATGGCAATGTACAAAGCCAGTCAGCACCCTCCTGTACGGGAGTGAATCCTGGACAACATATGCCAAGCAAGAGCAGAAGCTGAACAGTTACCACATGCAATGTCACCGTCGCATCCTTGGCATCAGCTAGAACGACAAAGTGCCCAACGCCCAGGTTCTTGCCCGTGCCGGCCTCCCCACCATGTACACCCTGCTCAGACAATGCAGACTGCGCTGGCTTGGCCACGTGTGCCGTATGGAAGATGGTCGGATCCTCAAGGACATCCTCTATGGTGAACTCGCATCCGGCAAAAGACCCCAAGGTCGCCCCCAACTGAGATATAAAGATGTAAGCGCGACATGAAAGCCCTGGACATCAACACAGAGATCTGGGAGGACACTGCAGCTAACCGCAGCAGCTTGCGCTGCCTGCTCAAGAAACAGCTAAATACAGTCGGGGAGAAGATCTTGAAACTAGCAGAAGAGAGGAGAGCCAGGCAGAAGGCACGCACACACGGACTGCCACCCACGACCAACTACATCTGCACTTTCTGCAGCAGAGACTGTCACTCCCACATCGGTCTCACCAGCCACAGACGATGCTGTTTTAGTCGTAACACCGCAAACTCTTAGGACACAATATCCATGGTCGACAAACGACCGAAGGAGGCCTACTATTTGCATCAGTGAGTTTCATTTGGAGAAGACCTAAACATGCTGCAATGCTCCACACGTGTTGTTGTATCGAGCGATCTCATGACTGCAGTACCTCTCATGAATGACATATTCCCATACGCCGCAGCTCTTCGTGCCAGTGGCTATTCCATTTTACACATTTTGTCATCTTCTGTGGCATCAAATGGTGTGTGTGATCAAATGTTCAATAATGTTACAGAAATGTGTTTTAGGCTTTTATGACCCTTTCAGCATGTTTGGCCACACATCAGTTGTGGTATGCTATTGATCTGTTAATTCTATACGTGTAACCATTCCATTAAGAACCGTATATTGTCGAAAAGCGCTATAGAAAGAAAGCTGACTTGACCAGTAATAACCAGGGGCAAGATTCAAAAAGGTCAGAAAAAAGTATTGTGTAATAATAACTCAACAAAAACATCATATAATTTTAGAAATATGTATTCAACAATAACACCAGTACATAAAATGTACATATGGGCACAAATACTGTATGTAAACAGTCTACACAAGACTCCGCAGTAAGTGCAAAATGTGCAAGTGACGTGTGCCAGGAAAAAACCTAAATAGCCAACAGACTAAAGAAGACACACATGAACAGCATGTACTCAACTCATTTTTGAGCCACACAAGACATTGCTGTCAGAGTGTCAGGAGCTCAATCTCTTTACCTCTTACAAAATCCACACACCGTACCAAAAATCTACACATCTTCTATACAAAATTCACACCCTATACAAATCCCACAGCTGTACAATTTTCACACCCTATACTAAATTTACCCTATACAACTCATCTGGATTGAAGCAGCAAGCATTCAGTATAAGAGTAAAAAAATGACATAACATTATTTAATATTTGAATCACAGCTTATATAGTGTTTCGACATCGACAAACCAACTGCATTTTACCTCAAACTTGCGACTAGGCGCAATCGCTTCTTGGGTCGACATTAACACACTGACAAATTTAATTCAGAATTTAAAATATTTTTTATACCACTTTTTAATGTGTCATTGTGTAAAAGTGTTCACGAGATACCAACCTTTCGTGAACTTGCTTTTAAAGGTGAACTAAGTAACTTTTTTACCTTAAACAAACAGCTTTGGAGTCATTGTAATGTTTATATGACTGATTTCGTGTTGAATGGTGGTCGTCTCGCACCCCCCTGGTGCCTGTGAGCCGCAAAACCACCCTTGCAACTTTGGGCCGGCGGGCCGCCGGCCTCAGTGTTAGGAAGTATCGTGTGATATCAGGTCTCGCGAGGTAACGAATTGCTTTACGGCAAAAAACAGATCTGATAAAATTCTGATAAAATGAGCATCAAACAGAAATAACCCGGCGCCGTATACATGTGGTGTTGGGCGCGCGCAGCTCTTAAAGGGGCCATACCTTATTTCCACTCGTCACAGCGTCCATCCTACTGAACAGGTACCGGTGTACAGGGGGAGGGGATCCGGCCGTGAGTGCGAGCCATCTCTGCGTGAGTGCTATTCACGACAGTACAAGTACTTGACAAAAACGGAATTCCTACTTAGTGCTGCTTTAACGAACACTTGTTTTCATGGAGACGCGGTGTGCACGGAGGGGAGGGGCTGTGTGTGTGTGTGTGAGAGAGAGACGCGTGAGTGACAGAGAGACGGAAGGAGAGCAGGGAAAGAAAATGCAGCTGAACGAATACGCTGCGTATTTTTAAATAGCGTTAAAAAATAATAATAACGAAATGCAATATGTGGCGGCCGGTGTTGATTCTGTGGCGCGCCGCCACAAATTAGTCTATGTGTGGGAAACACTCCCAGTCGGAAACTGTATGGTCGGAAATGTCAACTGAAAGATATAATGTTATTTGCTCTATGAAAGACATTGACAAAGACGAAAACTAAGTACATTTACTCTATAATTTCATTTTATTTTAGTTAGTTTTGCCAAACACACATTACAGTTTTAGTTTGTTATCTTTTTTTTGTAACGCCTCGTTTTTATTTTTATTTCAGTTAACGACAATGGTTTTTCCCACCTAGTTTTATTCTTTTCGTTCGTTTTCGTTAACGATTATAACCTTGTAGGACACTAAAGTCGTCACCTTTATTTATATAGCACTTTATACAATACATATTGCTTCAAAGTAGCTTTACTATGATAAACTATGTTCCCTTCTCTGTCGTCCCCGTTGTTTACGGTTTCATCTACGCTGTCCTATCTAATAAATGCTTAAAAGAACAAAAACATAACTTAAAAAAGCTATTACATTAACCCTCTTGGGTCGGCGGTCGCACCGGCGCACCAGCTCTCTTTTTTTATTATCAGTGCAAAAGAGACTCAAATAACTCATTTTTGTTGATTTTTGTCATACAGGCAAGTGTTATACATATACATTTATTATATAGACAGAAACCTCTTTCACATGGAAACATGTGCTAACAATGAAAATTTGCATTCAGAGGGTACACCTTTTGAGAGCAGAGGACCATTTGCCTGAAAGTCACACCCTTCTGTGTTCAAGATATTTATAAACTCTTAAGAACTTTATTACCTTTGGGTTTACTTCTTTGGGAATGAGACATTTGATTTGTACCAGTCGCACTGAGACATTTCAAATGATACCAAACATGTATAAAACTGTATGATAATTGTTCACATATATACATAATATTATGTATAAAACCATATATATTTTGGGTGAGTTTCAGGTGATCTCTGCACGAGAGAGAGAGAGTGGGGGGAGAGGGCAAGAGATGTAGATTAGAGTGAGTTCAAATGGTAATTTCCTTTGTTATCTCAGAGAGTTGCCCTCTCTTCCAGTTCTTCCAGTTCTTCCAGCCTTAAAATAGTTTTGAAGCAAATATTCTAGGTTACGATTTTCAAAAGTCTTGTGAAGAAATAATCAGTATGGGTTTCATGACCTTATTTCAGTGACATTTTGTTTTTCACAAACCACACATAAACGTCATTATCTCAAAACAACAAACTTGTACATACATGCTGCTGACATATTATTGTAGCAGAGTTTGAACTGAATACAGTGTAAATAGACTTTAGCCATGAAAATGTCACAAGTATCAGAAATAAGCACAAATGTCAGAGCATGTCAGAAGACCTCCAGGACCCAGAAAACACCCCAGACCCCAGAAGGTTTTTCTAGTGGTTTTAAATACAACCATGTAAAACTGGTCAGAAGCTCTTTGGGGTATTGGATCAGGCAAGTTTCATATTTTAGGGTTTGTAATATCATGTTTTGTTTTCCGTCTCACACAGAATGAGGTTCATGACCTGCGCCTTAATTCCCCTGAAGCGACAGCATCCTCATATAGGATGCCCAGAGATAATTATCCTGCAGAAGGACGTCAGGAAGGATTTCCTGGAGCGCAGGCGTTCTATGGTGCTCCTCCTACTGGTCAGTTCATGAGTTGCTTTATTCCTTTTTTCACAGCACTTGATATAATTCAACTTATTAATTTGATGGCGGATCCAGAAAGGTTCAAACGACAATCACCAGTGACAACTGGAGATTCACCCGTTGTAAAATGCAAAAGACTTTGAAGAAATTCTACTTCGGGGTGACTACAGAAAAAAAGAGACTGCAACCGGGCCCATGCGAAAACGAGGATAAATATGCATATGATTACAGATACGCACAGAAATGGAAACTGAACTACACCGGTAGCCCTAATACACATTAAATGTAGTAACGCACTGCTAATGTTGTTAACATGAACAATTTGAGAACAAAGTATAATTTGCACGGTTTGACGATCATTAGATTTAATCAGCGCGATTTACTGCAATGCTTTTATCCCTTAGTTGGTCAGAACAAAAGTGGATTTTACTTACTTGGTCAGACGATATTTTCCGGTGAAAAGTATTATATTGGTCATACTTCCAAAAAGTAGAATCTGTGATTGCGAATGCCAGAATTCACACCGGCGCGGTGACTGACAGCCGCACATTGGATTCATCCGCACTGTGCCGTGCCGAGGCACAACACGCGTAAAGCTGATAATTCCGCGAATAACTGAACAGAGATGGCGACAAAGAGGAAGAACTACGGACTGCAGCTTTAAATCACATGGAAAACTTTTATGGTGCTTTTATGTGCCATTTGAGCTTGAAGGCTTCAATCAACATCCTTGAGTTTCATAGATAATGTCTTATGGGTTTAGAGAGACGTGACAGTGAGTAAGTGACAGGATTTTCTTTTTCTTTTTGTGCAACTATTTTTCATATTGCTCACTATTTTTCATATTGCTCCTGCAAAACAATATCGCTTATTAATTCAATGTGTCTTTTGCAACAGAAAAAGCAATTATGTAGGTCTACTTACAAAAGTTCATTCAGTTAACTTTATCAGAATAAAAGAAAAATATAAAGCTGGAAGAAGATGTACAGCAGTTTTTCAAAAAAAAAAAAATTATTGTAGTGGCACTTAAAGGCACTTATATTTCCTGCGTTTCTCAGATCGGATAGCTATCTGATGTATCAAAACGATTCCATTTACACCTGGTCACATAAATGTGTTTGTGCAAAACGGATATAAATCCGATCTTCAACTCCCGCGCTATATGCAGATTTAATGGAGTTCACGTCACCAAAAGCAACAGATATTGCTGCATTTTATTGATCATCAGCTAAAATTTCTAAATCAAAGACAGCAATAAGAGAGAGCGGCAACAGCCCTGGTAAGATCATTTCGGTTCTTTACTTTTAATGATAATGATTGTGTGTTAAGCGTCTGCGACTTACTTTCACTTTGATTTGCAATAGTTTGCGGGGCGTTGGCTTGATGAATAGATGCTCATCTGCGGTGATGCGTTCTGCAGAAGCGCCGTCATATCTGGCTATAACATGACTTATAGCGTATAACACGCTCTCACTCGTTTATTTTTTTAGCATTTTTGGGAGGAGTACAAATTAAATATGTGGTTTCAACAACCACATGCATTTACACTTGTCCAGTTTCGTCTGGAATGCGGCCCAGACCTCCTCCTGAAGTGGTGTGAGCGATCTGATTCAAATCCGTCTCGAATGCGTTTCGGAGGGCCTTTACACCTGGTCTTTTCACGATCGGATAGCTATCCCATCACAGAAAACGCATGAAGTGGCACGGTGTAAACAGCCCCAAAAACAATCCAAAAACCGCTAAGCAGCTGAGTGGAGGAATAACTTGTGTGACGCGTTTATCCTTGAAGCTTGCATGTTGTTTTATTTTGTACAGGTTTGCACGGTCAACAAAATATATGCTCCAGCACTCACCCCCATTCTTCCATACTAACACACACACAACAGGTGTTTTAACCCCACTTAATTAATGACACTCCCATTATTATTTGGTCACATGACTTTCCCATTACATGGCTCCTACAATTATATTGTTGGCTTCTGCTTTTGGTTTATTCGTAAGTGTCAGATTTAATATTGCAAACATTTTTTCATTAATATATGAGTGTACCGCAAATGTTTTGTTTTTAGCTTCTAAATGGGGGCATCATCAAAAAAATGAGAACCACTTGTGTATACAATATTTAAGACATAATTAAAACGCATTCCTTTTTTTTCTCAGTTGCCACTACAGGTCCCTCTGCGTACTACAACCAGTCTCCAGCATATAATTCACAGTATCTTCTACGCACTGCTGCAAATGTTACACCAACAAAGGTAGTGGAGTGATTTTCATGTAAATGCAATATATTCTACCTTTTTAGTTACCAAGAAAAAGCACAGAGAATCAATATCAAAGTATTGTTTGTTTATCTCTGCAGGGCCCAGTTTACGGGATGAATCGTCTTCCTCCACAGCAGCATATGTATGCCTACCAACAATCAACACACACACCACCTCTTCAGTCAACTCCTGCATGCATATATCCTCAAGAGCAGGTCTTTGGTGCTCCCATCCGGTTTGAGTCACCAGCTACATCCTTACTCTCCCCATACAGTGAAGAGTATTATGGTCACAATTTTCCTCAACCTACAGTCAATCCAACATTACCAGAGCCTGGATATTTCACTAAGCCATGTGTCGATACATCCACGCAGCCATCCAAGAGCAGTGAAAACAAGGCTGTTGACCCCAAGATGAGTCTTGGGTCGCAGTTCACAGGTGAACCTCCTAAGGTTCCAAACTTTGGGGGGGTTGCCGGTGCCCTATCAACATCAGCAACAACTGCATTCAAGTTCAACTCCAATTTCAAGTCCAATTATGGTGATTTTACCTTTTCCTTAGCTCAGATGAAAAATAGTGAAAGCCTCTTGGGACTTCTGACGTCAGATATTCCTCCCAAAGCGGAAGGACCATCAGAACCGAAACATCAGACCCAAGAGCATCCGCCTAGCCAAAGTGGAGTCTTTACTTTTGGAAGTAAAAGTGCCACAGGGTTTTCATTCACCGATGCTGCTCAGAGCAAAATTAATATTTTTGGCAACACTGACCAAAGATTTAGCTTTGCAAGTGGAACCAAACCTGTATTAGGAAATCCAGAGGCTCGGGAAGAGAAAAGCGGGGAAAGTGATAATGATAGCACCCATGTGGAAGAGGAAGAGGATGGACCTCATTTTGAGCCCATTGTGCCTCTTCCTGATAAGGTTGATGTGAAAACGGGTGAGGAGGAGGAAGATGAGATGTTCTGCAAGAGGGCAAAACTCTTCCGGTTCGACCCTGAGACTAAAGAATGGAAAGAGAGGGGCATTGGAAGTTTCAAAATTCTAAAACACAGAACATCCGGGAAAGTTCGTCTGTTGATGAGGAGGGAACAGGTTCTCAAAATCTGTGCTAATCACTATATCACTGCAGATATGGTCCTCAAACCAAATGCTGGATCTGACAAGTCCTGGGTGTGGTATGCTATGGACTATGCAGATGAAATGCCCAAGACTGAGCAGTTGGCCATTCGTTTTAAAACCGCGGATGAGGCCACACTGTTTAAATTCAAATTTGAGGAGGCTCAAAAATTAATTCTAGAGTCCCCACAAGGCCAACAAATGGAAAATAAATATGAAACTCCGAAGCCTCAGGTTTCATCCAAAGAAATGGATCTTAAAACACTGTTTTCCAAGAAGACGGGTGAATGGGACTGCGATGTGTGCTGTGTAAGAAATGCTCCCACATCTGCAGTGTGTGTTGCCTGCAACAGTGCAGCTCCTTCTACAGCGAAGAACAAACCTGTAGTGTCCCCACATGGTCAACAGTTGAAAAAGAAATGTGAAACTCCAAAGCCTCAGGTTTCATCCAAAGAAATGGATCTTAAAACACTGTTTTCGAAGAAGCAGGGTGAATGGGACTGCGATGTGTGCTGTGTAAGAAACGCTCCCACATCTGCAGTGTGTGTTGCCTGCAACAGTGCAGCTCCTTCTACAGCGAAGAACAAACCTGTAGTGTCCCCACATGGTCAACAGTTGAAAAAGAAATGTGAAACTCCAAAGCCTCAGGTTTCATCCAAAGAAATGGATCTTAAAACACTGTTTTCGAAGAAGCAGGGTGAATGGGACTGTGATGTGTGCTGTGTAAGAAACGCTCCCACATCTGCAGTGTGTGTTGCCTGCAACAGTGCAGCTCCTTCTACAGCAAAGAACAAACCTGTAGAGGAACTTAAAGGCTCTGCGCCTGTGGCTCCTCCTGCGCAATTGTTTTCTTTTGGACTTACTGGAGACACTGATGTCAGCTCAAAGGGTTTAGCATTTGGATCTCAAATACCAGTTTCTTTTCAATTTGGATCAAATGATTCTGCAGTAACCTCTGTTGACCTTGCAGCTCAGGCTGATGAGAAAACTATTCGGGCTGATGCACCACAACATGCAAAAGTGTCAGCAACTCCAGTTTTCCCTGGTTTTGGCTCTCAATTTGTTAAGAAAGAAGGTCAATGGGACTGTGACTCCTGCTTAGTGAGGAATGATGCTTCAGCAACTGATTGCGTTTCTTGCAAAGCCCCCTGCAAAAAAAATGGACATTGGGATTGTGACACTTGCCTGGTAAGAAATGAAGGTACAGCTAGGCAGTGTGTTTCATGTCAGGCAGCAAACCCATATATGAAAGGCAAGACCTCTACTTCACCATCAAGTTCCTCTTCTTCATTCAGTTTTGGTAGTTCTAGCAAGCAACCTGCTGCAACAGGATTTACTGCCACTTTAAATCCAGGTCCTGCTTTTCAGTTTGGTACAAGTAAGGAAAAAGCATCCTCAGAAGGTTTTAAGTTTGTAGAGTCCTCTACATCTCAGGCTGATAAGTCAAGCAGTTCAAATTTTTCGTTTTCCATGCCAGTGCCCGCTGGTGGTTTCAAGTTTGGGATTGCAGAATCTGAGGCAAACGCATCAGACGGACAGTCACAAAATGGATCTGCATCTGACCTCCTAAAAAATATTGCTGAACTTCACAGAGAGAAGGAAAAAGAAGCAATCCCAAGTTCCTCAAATGAGCTCGTAGACACTGGTAGCCACGATAATAATCCCCTCCTTACCGGTAAGCCTAATTCCTTTGGTTTCGCAGAATTGGCTAATTCTTCACAGGGTAGTTTTCAGTTCGGCCAGAAGGATATTGCTGAACTTCACAGAGAGAAGGAAAAAGAGGCAATCCCAAATTCCTCAGATGAGCCCTTAGATACTGGTAGCCACGATAATAATCCCCTCCTTACCGGTAAGCCTAATTCCTTTGGTTTCGAAGAATTGGCAAATTCTTCACAGGGTAGTTTTCAGTTCGGCCAGAAGGATATTGCTGAACTTCACAGAGAGAAGGAAAAAGAGGCAATCCCAAGTTCCTCAGATGAGCCCTCAGATACTGGTAGTCACGATAATAATCCCCTCCTTACCGGTAAGCCTAATTCCTTTGGTTTCGCAGAATTGGCAAATTCTTCACAGGGTAGTTTTCAGTTCGGCCAGAAGGATATTGCTGAACTTCACAGAGAGAAGGAAATAGAAGCAATCCCAAGTTCCTCAGATGAGCTCGTAGACACTGGTAGCCACGATAATAATCCCCTCCTTACCGGTAAGCCTAATTCCTTTGGTTTCGCAGAATTGGCAAATTCTTCACAGGGTAGTTTTCAGTTCGGCCAGAAGGATATTGCTGAACTTCACAGAGAGAAGGAAAAAGAGGCAATCCCAAGTTCCTCAGATGAGCCCTCAGATACTGGTAGTCACGATAATAATCCCCTCCTTACCGGTAAGCCTAATTCCTTTGGTTTCGCAGAATTGGCAAATTCTTCACAGGGTAGTTTTCAGTTCGGCCAGAAGGATATTGCTGAACTTCACAGAGAGAAGGAAAAAGAGGCAATCCCAAGTTCCTCAGATGAGCCCTCAGATACTGGTAGTCACGATAATAATCCCCTCCTTACCGGTAAGCCTAATTCCTTTGCTTTCGCAGAATTGGCTAATTCTTCACAGGGTAGTTTTCAGTTCGGCCAGAAGGATATTGCTGAACTTCACAGAGAGAAGGAAAAAGAGGCAATCCCAAATTCCTCAGATGAGCCCTTAGATACTGGTAGCCACGATAATAATCCCCTCCTTACCGGTAAGCCTAATTCCTTTGGTTTCGAAGAATTGGCAAATTCTTCACAGGGTAGTTTTCAGTTCGGCCAGAAGGATATTGCTGAACTTCACAGAGAGAAGGAAAAAGAAGCAATCCCAAGTTCCTCAGATGAGCTCGTAGACACTGGTAGCCACGATAATAATCCCCTCCTTACCGGTAAGCCTAATTCCTTTGGTTTCGCAGAATTGGCTAATTCTTCACAGGGTAGTTTTCAGTTCGGCCAGAAGGATATTGCTGAACTTCACAGAGAGAAGGAAAAAGAGGCAATCCCAAGTTCCTCAGATGAGCCCTCAGATACTGGTAGTCACGATAATAATCCCCTCCTTACCGGTAAGCCTAATTCCTTTGGTTTCGCAGAATTGGCTAATTCTTCACAGGGTAGTTTTCAGTTCGGCCAGAAGGATATTGCTGAACTTCACAGAGAGAAGGAAAAAGAGGCAATCCCAAGTTCCTCAGATGAGCCCTCAGATACTGGTAGCCACGATAATAATCCCCTCCTTACCGGTAAACCTAATTCCTTTGGTTTCGCAGAATTGGCAAATTCTTCACAGGGTAGTTTTCAGTTTGGCCAGGAGGATCCCACTTTCAAAGGCTTTGCAGGGGCTGGCCAGCAGCTGTTTACAGCCATTAATTCCACCTCCAAGACAGACACCTCTGCTGATCAAGAAGATGAAATGTGCAAAACAAAGGATAATGACGATATTCAGTTTGAGCCAGTTGTTCAGATGCCTGAAAAGGTTGACCTTGTGACAGGGGAAGAAGATGAGAAAAACTTCTATTCACAGAATACAAGAGCACAAGAGCTTGCAGAAGAGTCCAAGCAAACATTTGAGGAGAGTCACCGGCTGCTATTGGATATTCCTTTACAGACCCCTCACAAGCTTGTGAATACTGGCAGGACGGCCCAACTTATACAGAAAGGTATCAGTACCTCTTCAGTCATAGTCAAGCTTGACTCTGAAAGCACCACAACTGTAAAACCATAAATCTTCATTATGAGTTCTAATCATAAATACAGTGCATGTTCACAATAATAGTTTAAATAAATAAAAGAATGATTTAAACTATGTTTTACTTCTGATATAAACATTTAGATTAAATATGCCATTCTAATTAATGGAGTTAAAAACTTAAACTACATGAAATCATTACTGAGAAGTTGCAACATTTTTTATATTCAATAAATAGAAATATTTGTTGTGGATGCGATGCTTTTGAACACTTTTCCTCTGGCATGCTGTGTTTTAATGTGTTAACTACAGAGATAATTGCTTATCATGATAATAGCAGATTGTCTGAGAAAATAGTTTTGTGCAAATAATGCACAACAAGGTCTATCTGTTTCCATAAAAAATATAAATCAATTAAAAACACTATTTGGCCAGTTGAAAAGATTGAGAAAAAGTTTCTCTGAAATGTATTTTACACTATTTGATGTATTTATTCATAGGATAGGCTACTAAAGGATTTTTATTAATGTAATGTGACGCACATCCATATCTCATATTTTCTTGTACCGTTAAACATGTTATAACGTGGATGAATAATCATATGCAAATGATATGCAGATGAGGATATGCATAGTAAAACGAGGCGTTGTAAGCTCATATATGGTAATTTCGGGGAGGAGACGCATGTGCACTATCTTCCACTGACTGGGATTTATAAAGTGAATTATGCGCAGGTTCTTGTGTACGAACGGTTTTATAAGTCTGAATATTTATTTGCGTACGCCATTTTTGGCTTTCGGCCGCACGTACACTTTTAGCAAGAATCCTACGCAGTTTTATAAATGAGACCTCTGACCTTGACTGAATGATGTGATAACTTAAACATTGTTTCCTTGGCCTCAATCAAAACGTTTGCATGATCTGAAATTGGCTAACCTTTAGCTGTTTGTTTTAAACTTTAGTAGAATTTACAAGTCCTTCAATTTTTCAGCAGTGAATGTCTTGTAAAGTTATTTTCCCATCTTGAAATGGGACACCAACAGGTGTCGTTATAGGAATGGGCTGTTACGATATTTTTTGTCTCAGCTTTATATTGTACATGTAGCAGACATCTCCAACATTGTAGACGGCTGCTTAGACTTCTGTTGATGTAGTGAATAAAAAACAGAGCTATTTGGCCTATTTGGATTTCAGTTATGATGTGCTTGCTCTTTACTGTCTTACATTTACATTTAATCATTTAGCAGACGCTTTTATCCAAAGCAACTTACAACTGAGGAGAACAATAGAAGCAATCAGACCAGCAAGACGGCAACAGTATACAAGTGCTGTTACAAGTCTCAGTTAGTCTAGTACAGTTTTTAGTACTGTATTTTTTATATGAGAAAAACAAATAGAATAGAATAGGCAAGTGCTAGTGTTAATTGGTCAGGTGCTGGCGAAAAAGATGTGTCTTTAGACATTTTTTGAAAATGTCTAAAGACTCAGCTGTCCGGACGAACTGGTTAAAGACTCAGTCTTAATTGCAGTGGTCAAGATACATGATAGGACTGCATTATTTCTCTCAAAAGAAAAGAATTTGCATTAAAACAGACGTGGCACATTTTTCTGACGGACTACAGAGATCAGACTCTGTATAGAAGACACAGACAACATGAGTTAGGGCTGCATAATTATGACAACATCAAAACATTTCTCTTAAAATATTGCAATTATTTATGTTGATTAATGAACCTTGCATTAAAATACCTTTTTTGAGTGAAGAAACTACATCAGTCAGTCAATGACATTCTATAAGAAGTTTTTGCAATGCCAATGATTTGCAGAAAAGCAGCAAATTTAAGTCAATTGGGTATTTATAGAATCCCCCTTGACTCCCTCATGAAATCTTTCTTTGGTTTATTGAAATGAACTGACTGACAGGTAGTTGCTTTCAAATGTTAAAAGTGTTCACATGTATATTTTGAAGGGTGTCAAAAGATTTAGAACACCACTGTTTTTATAGTTATTTAGATTTATTCACCTTAATACGTCAACGTAATTTGAAATTAATGGAAATAAAGAAGAATTCATGAAATCATTAGGTTTCGACTTAGTTGCCTTTTGCAGATAACATTTGTAGAATTGCCTTTTCAATGAAGACCAAATATTGTTCGGTAGGGCTGGGTATTGACACAAATTTCACGATTCGATTCACAAGCTTGTTATTCGATTCCGATCCAATTCGCTATAGATTAATTTGAATATATCTGGTACAGTAAATGTCAACTTTTCTCAAGGAAATAAAATCTCTCAGCTAATGTTGTAAACTGTACAGTGAGTCAGAAGGTACATTACTGTAATATTAAAGGTAGAGATGGGAAGTTCGGTTGTTTTCGGCGAGCTGGTTCCTTCGGACAGTTCGTTTCATTCACCTGCTCTTTTACGTCCTTGCGTAATGACTTCGATTCTATTATCCCGGCTGATGAAAACACATTCAAACACATTCAAATAAAGTAAATTGTAATTCTAACTTCAGTTAAATACTAATAATTATCGCCATCATCATCATCATCATCATTTTGGATAAGTTTCTTACATTAACGTTTTGCAAAAGCTCCCAATACAAGCACTGATGTGCAAACGCGGATGTTTTACACTTCTTTAAGATATAAAGTGAATCTAGACATCAACTTTTTACAGAAACCAGGATCCAGCTCATAAATCTTAAAATATAATGTGCATACACAATAGTAAATAGAAAAACATGTTTTCATATTTTTTATTTTCATTTACATGTTTTGACTGAACAGTTGTTGCATGTTTATCATGTTAAAATGTTTAATAAAACCAGTTGCATTCGCATTCTCTAGTAGATTTTATTTGTCATTAAATAAACTTACATTATGGCAAATTCCAGTCCTTGGTTCACCCGTGCTCCTAGTATCAGCACAGCATCAGTTGTACGAAATAAACCGTTTGGTCAGAATCTATAGCTCATCTGTTCTCAGTCCGAAAGAAACCATTTGTGCACTGTTGACTCGAGAACTGTTGACTCGAGAACTCTTAAGAGTTCATTCTATAGGTATGCGCGTTTGAATATATGTGCGCAGGCATGTAGTCCTTCCCTAAAAAACCAACCCTCAACAAACTACTTGTCTGGCCTTAAAATTTATAATACAGAATTGTATCGCTTCGGCGTAGCCACGCGAACTTATCCCGGAATTATCCCGACAACGATTAGAGGTAAAGGGAAGGAGGCCTTCACAGGGAGGGACTAGTGACACTTCAGGACTGCGTTGTCGTCGCGTCCAGACGCAGGTCCTTCATCAGAACTGGTGTGTGTGTGTGTGTGTGTGTGTGTGTGTGTGTCTGTGTGTGTGTGTGTGTGTGTGTGTGTGTGTGTGTGTGTGTGTGTGTGTGTGTGTGTGTGTGTGTGTGTGTGTGTGTGTGTGTGTGTGTGTGTGTGTGTGTGTGTGTGTGTGTGTGTGTGTGTGTGTGTGTGTGTGTGTGTGTGTGTGTGTGTGTGTGTGTGTGTGTGTGTGTGTGTGTGTGTGTGTGTGTGTGTGTGTGTGTGTGTGTGTGTGCGCGTGCGTCCGTGTGTGTGTGTGTCCGTGTCCAGACGCAGGTCCTTCATCAGATCTGGGTACGGCCTGGATCCGCCGGACTGCAGTAAACCTTGGGATAAACAGAGAAACTAATATTAGCGTAGATGCCATTCTTCTTATAATGTAATGAGTACATCAGGATTTATGGGAAGTGTTCCCAGTTCCGGCTGACCTAATCTATGCAGCCTAACATTGAATTATAGAAGTCTATAATGTGTGTTGTGAATGCTAGGTCAAAGAGATGTGTTTTTAGTCTAGCTTTGAACTGACAGAGTGTGTCTGCTTCCCGGAAAATGGTAGAAAGACTGTTCCAGAGTTTTGGTGCTAAATAGGAAAAGGATTTACCGCCAGCAGTCAATTTTGATATTCTTAGGTATTTATTCTATTTATTCTGATTTATTCTTTAGGTATTATCAACTGGCCGGAACTTTGAGATCGCAATAGACGTGAAGGACTATAATGCGTTAAGAGCTCGCTCAAGTACTGGAGCTAATCCATTTAGTGCTTTGTAAGTAATTAGCAATATTTTTAAATGTATACGATGTTTAATAGGGAGCCAATGCAGTGTTGACAGAACCGGGCTAATATGGTCATACTTCCTGGTTCTGGTAAGAACTCGAACTTCTGCGTTTTGAACCAGCTGTAGTTTATTTATTAAGCGTGCAGGGCAACCACCCAGTAGAGCATTACAATAATCTAGTCTTGAGGCCATGAACGCATGGACTAATTGTTCCGCATTCGTCAATGAGAGCATATGGCGTAATTTAGAAATATTTTTAAGATGGAAAAATGCGGTTTTACAGACACTAGACACGTGACTTTCAAATGAAAGATTGTTATCAAAGAGCACACACACACACACAGGTTCCTAACCGACAACGAGGACTTGACAGAGCAGCCATCAAGTGTTAGACTGTATTCTAGGTTATTATGTGAGGAAGTTTCCTTTCAAGAGAACTCGAGCTGCGTCGAGACGCGGTGGGAACGCCCTGCGTGATTGCGTCGTAAAGCAAGTGTATAATTTGCTCCGCTCCTGTCGGGCGTTCTTCGAGGAGGACGGTTCGGTTCGCGTTAAAAAATAAAAAGAGTTTATTAGATGAAATATATCTAAGAAAACAGGAAAACTCTGTATCTCAGCCTCCTCGTCGGGGACTGCCGTTTTTTCCCTATCTCCACACTGAGGTGTCGAGATCGTGGAATAAACCGGTTTCTATTTTATGTGTATAATCCCCAAACGTCTAACTATAGTTATGTTATGGGTATTAAGTATCATGGTATGACAATGCCTCGGGTTAAAGAGACGCTTGCGAGCTTTCTCTCTACCGAGTCGCCGTCATCATTATTAACCCCGACGTTACCCACCAGCCAGAGTGCAAAAGAGAGC